TGACAATATATATTGATATTGATTGATTGTCCATCCCTACATCATAATCTTTATTTTCCGCTTTGTGTGTTTCTCTGTTTTCAAACAGGAGCAAGACTTAGAGAAGGTGCAGGGGGAGCAAGAAGAGGCTGCCTTACTCGCTCATTTGCAGAAACTGAGAACGACGTCAGTGAAACTATTCCAGCTTACCCAGGCCATCCAACAGATGCATTCCTGTTTGTCTGCAGCCCTGCGAGGTGACTCTTGGAAAATGCCCATTGCTCAGGATTTTATTTATTTTTTCCTCTTCAAACAGAGGGACTAACTCATCAAGGGAACGCTCAGAGAAGTCATGATTTAAAGGGAAAAGCTGACAGCGTTTTACTGAGATGTTAGATCAACACATGTAATTGCATCCATATGCTTTGGCGTTGGCTCTTCAGGTCTGGAAATGAAGGGATGGAACACCGTTCATCCAACAACAGTGTTTATTTGCGGGAGAGTTGGTGACTTGAAAGGCTTTCAGACATCTCAGGGTCTCTATGCAAACTGCAGTACTTCTTTTTTGATCAAATTGTCCAACCAATTCTGTTAATTTGTGAAAAAAAAACAAACAAACAAAAAACGCAAAAACATTTGAGTTGCGTAATTCTGAATCCAAGTGGATCACTGCAGTCATAGGAACCTCTCATAACATAGTCCTACCTCCTTTCAGACTACACAAATGATCTAGAAATAAGTAAAAATTTCTTAAATTACGTGTATTTAACCTTAATTTGAGCAGATAAATAAGATGATTTGCCAATTATATTATTTTTTTTTCTATTAAAATAAAATCATTATATAATATGAACTTGAAATAAGACAATGCAATTGTTTTTTCTTATTTAAAATGTAAATTGTCTTGTTCCATTGGCAAAGTGTCTCACCCTCCTCAATTCAAGAAAAAAATTACTTATTTAGATTGGAATTTGAAGTTGATATCCTCTGGAAGTAACGTAACACTTTGAAGATAATCTTTTCCACCTTTTAAGTCTCTCCTAACTCTCACATACATGGTTAGTTAACCATGTAATACTATCACCCATTTGAAGTTTTTGTCCTCGAGGCTGCCTGTTTTACTTCTTTAGTTAAATTGCTTGATGCAATTACTCATATCAGGTTATTTAACACTACAAAACAACTACATTTAATTGAAGTTGCAATCTGATGCTATTTCTCCCACTGAGATATGCATTTGAAAAAAAAAAAAAAGAATAAAAAATATGTCTGACTTCTCTTTGTCCAGGTAACGATAGAAGCTCTGACCTCAGCGGCTGCAGGGAGCTGATCTCCTCCTCCACCAAGGCTGTTGATCAGCTGATCATTGGTCTGTCCAAGGAGGAAGCAGACGCCTCATCTCTGCAGCTCCCCTGCCTTCAGACCATCATGTCTGCACGAGATGATCTCCACTGCGCCCTGCAGTCCTTATCCGCCTCCTTGTGGAGCCACCAGGAAAGCGACAGCAGAAGTTCATCTGGTTCGGACAAGAATGTAGAAAATGACTCCTCCACCAAAGAGAGAGCTAAAACATACAGTGCTGTTAGAAATAAAGTAGTTAGTAAGATCGTGTACTCTGTCGCTCCTGATGTGACTTGCAGTAGCAGCTTGCACTGGGTGTAAACTCTGTTTTGGTGTTTTTTATCATATGTTTGAAATTTTATTTTATACATACATTTTTACCAGAAGAAAAATCAAGATTTATCCTACTAGAGTTATGGATTTCATAATGGTACAGGAAACAGTCTTTGTAAAAAAAACTAAATAAGTCATTTGTTTGTAACATTCACCATTTGCAGGAAAGTTTTCACAACCTTTGAAATATTTAAAAACTAAATTCTGTTGCTTTAGAATTGGTGAAAAGATAAAGTGTTGAATTCTTTGATTTCTCTTCTTGGTATGAGGGAAACTTCTGTTCCAGTGTATTTATTTATAAGCTAAGGCTAAAACTTCACTCCTGAGAGTGTAAAATATGTCTATATTAGAGCTGATCGGGTTTGCTGATCAGGAAGAAAACTTGCTCATAACACTCTTCTATATATTTCTTTCCTTTTAAGGTACAATATTAATGTAGTATTTGTTGTTTTCTCCAGTTTTTTTTTTTTTTGCATTACAATATCATGCAATTTGCACTCAGCCAGTATTTGTATATTCTGTGTTTCTGTTCTTTTTATTGCCTTAGAAAATAACGCAGCCACCTACACAACTGCAAAGAGTGATATGGCCTGATTTCACAGGGATGTAGATCTATCAGTACATTGCTGGTAAAGGTTGCGAAAAGATTTTTACTGTTATGTATCACTAAGATATTCTTTTCAAATTTAAAATGTTTACACTCGCATGCAGTGCTCTTGGCTGTGGTTTTCAGCTACTGAAAAACGTATACAAGCCTGTATTATCTGTTCACTTGGACTTTTGTAATATGTTTGGTATTTGTATTTTTTAATTAAATTCCATTCATTAAACCAGCTTATCACCCTCAAACAAAATCTTGCATCTTTTGCAAAGAAATAGTTCTGTGCATTAATTTTTTATAAATATGCTTTTTATTTGCTATTGAAGAAAAAGATTTACAAAAGGCTTTGTGCTGGCCTAGAGGTATTTTTGTCCCTTTGCAAAAACTGGGATGATGTGAAAATCTCCTGCTGCACTTAACACTTTTTCTCCTTATATTTTACTTTATGTGTTTTTAAATAATGCTTACTTGTAAATGGTAAATGTGACAACTTCTATTGTAAATGCAGGTTTAGCACATATCGTCTGGAATTGCTAATCCTGCGACCATTTTAGGGAAAAGCGAAAACACCCAACATTATGGTCTTTAACTCCAAATAAAACTGGATGGCCATAAGTAGTTTGGTAAAAAAAAAAAAAAAGGCAATTCTTATAATCTGTACGGAAGCTGAGAGCAGTCGTACTTGACTTTTTTTTTTCTCCCTTTGCCTTCTCGAGATATTGATATAACTATCTCATTATCATGGTTTAACAATTGTTTTCTCGGATAAGATAATTATCTCGTTATCACATGAAAACAGTTATTAATTTCTCGAGATAATGAGATGATTGACCTGTATGAGTAATGAATGAGGCTGGCCAACAGCCCTGGATTCCCAGTCCATCCATGCCTGCGGTGCCAGTAGTTGTGCAGTCGTGGTCCCAAGTCGGTGCGAATAATAGATTTTTAGTTTCCTTTTTCTTTTCACTCATCAGTTCGTGGTGGATGATTGGATTGCATAGAATACAGTATAAACAAATCTGACTTTTTAAAATAAATATCTTTAATCTGGACTAATTTTGGGGGTTAATGCATCTTATACCTGTTTCAGGCATAACAACCGGGGCTGTTCAGAAAACACTTGGCACTAAGGCGCCGGAGGCATAGGTCTAATTGCTTATGAATCAGAAGTGGAAGCAAATCATCAAACCAACAACATCGTCTCATTGCCTAAACGTTAAACACTGGATTATTGACAGAATTACACATAGGCTGCCATGACTAATACTTATAAATCCTCTCCAGCTGTTGTGGTATTGAAGGATGTAACAGTTTTGACACACACAAAACATCTCGTTATGACAAGAAAACGGCTTTCTAATGATAAAACGGCTTTCTCTATCTTTAGATAATGAGGAAATAAACTTGTTTTCTCGAGAAAAGCACCGTGAAAAAGTACCTGAGGGACACGACCTCTCTCGACCTCCGTGAATCTGGGCTCAAAGAGGAAAGATTTGTTAATTTTTTTAGAATAAGATGAGAGTTCCCACCTTTTAACCCCTTAAAACTCACCGGCGACCCGGTGGACCTTAAGTGGAGATTAAAACTCAGAATGCATAAAATTCCTCCGGTAAAATTTTTACCAGCAGGTGGAGGTATTGCGTGCAGCTCCAAGCAAACACCAAAAGTTTTAAACCCCACAGCTCTGGAAATGTTATACCTGGAGGTCTGAAATTTTCTGCATTTTTTTGTTGACATGATGGAGAACAAATATAATACAATAAAATCTGCTTTTTCTCAAGAATATCTTTATGACTGCTGTACAAAAAAAATATAATTTCCAAGAATATAAAAAAAAAACTTTGAGTCATGTTTGAAGTGATGCAGGTTGGTCCGTGTGCTAGTCAGCCAATTTTTATTTATATATTAGGAAACTAGAGGGCGTTAGCTTTCAAATAATGTATTGCACATGTAATTTACCCAAAAGGAGGTGGATAAGAGGTTAAAGAACATTACTTAAAGTTCGCAACATAAACACTTTGGAGGTGAACATAGAGGAAACAGCAAAAGAAAGAAACCATCATGATTATGTTAATTTTTACATAACATGCCAGAGTTGATTGCCAAAGGTTTGGAACCTATTCAACACTTTAAAAATCAACTCTGTGAAATAGAAACTTTTTCATAAATACATTAGACCCCAACAAACCCATCCTTGGACCCCTAAATGTCCATGAACCCTACTTTTAGCACTGTGCTGCTGGCTCCAGGTCACACCCACTCATCGCGTGCGTAATCTCATCTGCATCCTCCCTTCATACTCCCCGGAGTCAGCAACACTTCGGCTCTACTTTTGCATTGTTCAAAAGTAAAACAAAAGAAATATATACATATATATTTCTATATGTCGGTCATCTGTAATGAAGGAACAGGAAGATCGGTAGATCAGGTAAAACCAGCTGTTCTGTTTGGGGTGAAACCGAATGCTTTATTTCCAACTAACAATATGTTTGTTGCAGGATGCGCTGGTTTTCTTCCCACATCTTAAATCTGATTGTAAGTACCAATATTTCATTTTAACCAGCACTTTAAACTTATTGTTCTTCTTCGAAAAACAAAAACTTTTATTTATGCTTCGCGCTTCGGTGAGGGATTTGTTTTGAACGCGCAAAAAGTGTATTTATCCCAGACGCATTTGTCTTTTAGTTAAGTTTTTCCAAGTTATCAAATAAGAAAAGAAGAAAAAAAAACATTTCCTTTTCCTCAAATGACTGTAAACTGTTTCGCATAAATTTAATTTTTTTATTTTTTTTATAATTGATAATGTACTAAATTCGCCCATAGGGGATTTAATATAATACTACCACTTAAAGGATTTTTTTCTTTTTTGAATGATCAGGAAAAAAAAGATCTAAAAAAGAAAAAAATACATGTGTAAGAATTATAAAATAGAACTTGGTGGAGTAAACCAATTTGCTTTTTATTAGTTACTAATCTGAATTGAATTGAATTAAATCATTAATAGAGTTGCTAATTGGTTTTCATGTCTTCTCATCTGAGTTAAACTTATTTGTGTTACAGGTTTGTTTTCAGAGCTTGATATTAGGTAAGTTTACTTTCTCCTTAGGTTTACAGGCACATATGTCATCAGCTGATAGAGGAGTAAACGATTGTTAACCTATTATGTCCACTGACATAAATTGATTTAGAGTCACTTATGTATTTAATATCATTTTCCTTCTTTTGAGAAAACGTATTTTTTGTATCAATTTTCTTTGGTTCTACTAATGAATCACTTGAAAACTTATTTTTTACTTGACTTTAGAGATATGTGCTTCCTAATATTGGTTGTATTTATATGGGTTATTCATTTATTACATCCTGTTAAAATGTTGTTTCTTTTTTGATCAATATTCAACCCTTTTGCTTTTTTTTTTTTGTACAACCCTTTGAGCCAATCACTGGAATGAAACCATTCCTGTAATATCAAGGAGACTTCTGCTGCTCCCAGCAGGTATTTTGGCCCATTCCTCACGAGCAAATGGCTCTAGTTGTCTCAGGTTTGAAGGGTTCCTTTTACACATTCCAAGTTAGGATTCAGGTCAGGGCTCATAGAAGAACACTTCATAGTTGTTCCGTGTTTTTCTCTTGGCCATCTAGAGTTTTTCTTTGTATCTGTGTATTTTGGTTTATTATCCTGTTTGAAGAACTATTACCTGAGACTAAGACCAGTCGCACTGGGCAGCACATCCCTCTCTAGAATCAATTCAGATTTCATTCAATGGCGTAAATATCAGTAAGCAGAGACAGCAGTTGCTTACAGGCCCACAACCTCCTAGGGGCCCCATCACTGACACCTGTTTGTTCCCCTAAGCAATTGTGGACTAGCACGTCTCTTTGCAGATGTAACGGTGTGAAAAATTTCTCCTAAACCCACCTGATACTGAAGTGACTGGCCGCACCGGACCTTATCTTTACCGCAACACATGCCAGATTTCAACATGATGGTGAGCCGTTTAAAAAGCAAAGCAGACAGTGGTAATTTTGTGGTGGTTCCATAAGCATCTCCCTGAAATGAGTTTTTGGAACTTGGGATGTCTGTATCATGTGGTGGTGCGCTGTCAGCGATAGTTCCATTCAAGGTGCGCAGTCACTATTTTTCCGTAAGATGTGTGATCATATACTACTGAGAATTGCATAAATGTATCTTCTTGGCCGATTTATGGAACTGTTGCCCTATCCTGAACCTTTATCTCTTGTTGTACTTCATGTGGGGCCCACCCAGATAATGTTGCTTAAAGGAATAGTACACCCAAAACATGATTAGCCTTCATTTTCATGGAGTACTTTTTTGATATCTCAAATGCATCTGGAGATCTGGGAGGCTTCTTGCTGTCTGCTGACATTCAAATAATGGAGGTCTATGGTGCCCGAGGCAGAAAGATCCATAAAAGTCCAAAAAAACTTGTCAATATTCCTCCATACTGCTCATCCAATGTATTCCAAGTGTCCTGAGTGGGTAGCGTCCATAATTTACTCGAAACGAAGTCATTTAGAAAAAGCGTGCGCCTGCGAGTTCACGAGCCTACGGAAACCGCGGCAGACCAAACCAGATGAAAGTGCGCATTCAGCTCGGCAAAGAAGTCATGCTCTTCCTCAACACTGAAGTCCTCAGACATTTTTCTTTCGTTGTTTCTTTCTTTGCACAGGTAAACAGCAAATTTCTTCTTCTACGCTTGCATTATCAAGAGCAGACGCTGAATGCACACTTTCATCTGGTTTGGTCTGCCGCAGTTTCCGTAGGCTCGTGAACTCGCAGGCGCGCGCTTTTAGGAAATCCTATACACTACTGTTTATGCTCTAAAAACATTCTAAATGACTTTGTTTCAAATAAATTATGGACGCTACCAACTCAGGACACTTGGAATACATTGGACGAGCAGTATGGAGGAATATTGACACGTTTTTTGTGGACTTTTATGGACCTTTCTGCCTCGGGCACCATAGACCTCCATTATTTGAATGTCAGCAGACAGCAAGAAGCCTCCCAGATCTCCAGATGCATTTGAGATATCAAAAAAGTACTCCAGAGTGTTGTTCAGCATTGGGGTGAGTAGAAAATGAAGGCTAATCATGTTTTGGGTGTACTATTCCTTTAAGGGCCTGTTGTTGTGTTGTGACGCCATTGATTTAATTTTTGTTCTAATCTCCGGAGACAACTCTTTCCTTTGCTTCTTCCGGTCCATGTTGAGTGTGGTACACACCATGTTACCAAGCAGCTCAGTGACACCCTGTAGCCCTATATATAGGCCCACTCACCTTTTACTAGATTGCAGATACCTGTGATGCTAATTAGTTGACACAAAATGTCAATTTGCTTTTTTGGTCAACTTTTTTTCATTTTTGTCCAAGCCTGTTTTGGAATATATATATATATATATATATATATATATATATATATATATATATATATATATATATATATATATATATATATATTGAAGAATGGTTGAACAGAAATGTCAGACTTTTATTTATTTATTTATTTATAGTTTTAATTTTTTTGTCAGATTCACATTATTTCTCAGGCTTTTGTAGATTGTTCTTTGATTAATAAGGAGTACCAACAATATTTTTCATCTGTGTATTTTTAACTGTTTACATGATATTTCCCACTTCTCCAAAATTGATAATGGTGATAGCAGTTGCAGTAGGTAGGTCTGGTGTAATTTAAATAAGAAAATAGGTGGAAAAGACCCCCTGTAATGTACAGGGGAGATTTTTTAAGGGTAGGGGAAGTTTCTCCTCCAAGACTAACAGAAACCCTGTTAGCGTATATAGTATGGAAAGATAACTAAAATACTAGGTGATTAGGTTGACTCATACACATAAATAGTTTAGCAGTCACGGAATAAACCTTCTTTCATAGACTGTCTCCTCAATTCAATAGAAAACATTTAAGATAAGGAGCAGAAAGGAGAGCATCAGAGAATCAATTTGTGTGAATGAGCTAGAGAGGCTTTTCTATCTCAGCGCTATCAGTCTAATCTTAGTTGGTATATATGAGAGATAAATTAGCACTTTAGCATGCACACCAAATCCCAGCTATAGAAGTCCCATTTATTAATTTGCAGCTCATGAATGTGGAAACTTGCTCTAAGTATTTGAATGAAATCTACAACAGAAGTTTTATACTGTACAGTAAATCTAAGGATAATGTGGAAATACATGGAAAATGCGTTACATAGTACTTGTGAGGGTTTTGGGCGACTCAGAGAGGTATTCCTCTTTGTGAGACACCCAGATGTTTTGCAGCACTTACATCATCACTTAGCCTGTGACTCATAGCGAGTGTAACTTATCCACCCTTGTAATGCATGTTTTTTGATGTGCACACAGAACAAATGATTGGAGGTTTGGCTAGCGCTGATAATCCCTTTGCTGTAAAGACTTGGAAAGTTCTCATAAGTATTTTGTTGAGGGCTGGCTGCAATCCTAAAATGAAATCTCACATTTAAGATCTACATAGTATTTTTTGCAAGGTTATTTGCTTTATTTTTAAATATTGCTGTTTCTTTGGACTTTTTTTCACATGTCAGTGGTTTTATCCCTTAGCTGATCTAAACTCTATTGAAATATTGTATTAGTGCTGATAAATCTATACCACCTTGGTGGGAGCCTTTCTATCAACATCTTTTCTTTTGCTATTTCAGTAGCATTTAGAGTGGAAAGCAGAAGCCAGCAACCATATAAGTTGTACTATAAGTATTTTCCCGATCCCCTGCAATGGAAGGCTGCAGAGGGACTGTGCAAGCAGCAGTCTGGGACCTTAGCCACCATATCCAACCAGGCAGAGAACCAACAGCTAAGCAGCATCTTAAATTACTGGAATATATCTCATCCCGTGTGGATTGCCAGGAAAATCTTAACCCATCAAAAAAGTAGGTTAATTGCGCTTACTTGGTCCACTAATAAGATGCACAAGCATTTCTATTTCTTTAAATAAAATGACTCTGATGTTAAGTTTATGATTCCCTTTTTTAATGTTTCCTTCTCTTTTTCTTTTTGATGAAATCAAAGATTCTTCTGAGACATTCATCCTGGATTTCTCCAAGCGCTCTGACCAGACATATGCCCTCCTCCTGCACAAGTTCCCCTCCATGAGCTCAATGACTATCTGCACCCAACTACGCTTTGATCCAAACAGCTCCGGAATTTTCACAATTTTTTCCTATTCCGTCCATGATTTCCAGCTCCAAGCAAAACTGGTCCAGGGCAAACCTGTGCAGTTGGCTCTGCGGTTCCACTACAAGCAAGGGTCGTATGCCGAAGCTTTCAAACATGACAGCCTCTGGCATTCTGTGTGTGTTTCTTGGAGCCTGGATGTTGGAGCCTGGGCCCTCTATGCTCACGGTCACATGATTTCAAGTGGGGATTGTATAAACAGGGATGTTGACAGCATCGGCCCAAATGGAGATTTCATTATCGGTCAGGGCAAGCATGGGAGCTCCTCTGAGTCCAATGACTCATTCTCAGGGAGCATCACCGAGCTGCATGTTTGGAATCGGGTTTTGAGCAGCTGTGAAATATTCACCATGGAAAATGAATGCTCTATCATCTCCTCTGGACTGGTATTGAAGTGGGAAGAAGTTTCTCTGAAAATAGATGTAGTGTCCCTTAAAAAGCCGTGGAAGAACAGTCTATGTCAAGGTAGTGTTTAAATCAAAGGAAGAATGCAATGTTTTTTGCAAAATCTAATATCAAACTTAGTTTATGACGGAGTTATGGAAAAAGACGCACCCGATTTAACCCAGAGGGGGGAAAAAAATTTCCATATGGTCCAGAACTTTAAAAAAGTTTAAAAAAAGGTTAGTTTCACAATCAGGCTGGGTGTGGCTGATATGAAGCGAAGCAGATTTAAAGGAGGTTTTAACTGCTAAGATTTCAAGATCTGAGTGAGCCTGAATCTAACGATCAGCTCTGTCCAAAAGAATAACAGTAAAACACCCTGCAGATTTCAAGATGATCTGAGACATTTTCATTTAGACACATACACTATATTGCCAAAAGTATTTGCTCACCTGCCTTGACTCACATATGAGCTTAAGTGACATCCCGTTCCTAATCCATAGGGTTCAATATGACGTCGGTCCACCCTTTGCAGCTAGAACAGCTTCAACTCTTCTGGGAAGGCTGTCCACAAGGTTTAGGAGTGTGTTTATGGGAATTTTTGACCATTCTTCCAGAAGCGCATTTGTGAGGTTGCACACTGATGTTGGACGAGAAGGCCTGGCTCTCAGTCTCCGCTCTAATTCATCCCAAAGGTGTTCTATCGGGTTGAGGTCAGGACTCTGTGCAGGCCAGTCAAGTTCATCCACACCAGACTCTGTCATCCATGTCTTTATGGACCTTGCTTTGTGCACTGGTGCACAGTCATGTTGGAAGAGGAAGGGGCCAGCTCCAAACTGTTCCCACAAAGTTGGGAGCATGGAATTGTCCAAAATGTCTTGGGATGCTGAAGCATTCAGAGTTCCTTTCACTGGAACTAAGGGGCCAAGCCCAGCTCCTGAAAAACAACCCCACACCATAATCCCCCCTCCAACAAACTTTACACTTGGCACAATGCAGTCAGACAAGTACCGTTCTCCTGGCAACCGCCAAACCCAGACCCGTCCATCAGATTGCCAGATGGAGAAGCGCGATTCGTCACTCCAGAGAACGCGTCTCCACTGCTCTAGAGTCCAGTGGTGGCGTGCTTTACACCACCGCATCCGACGCTTTGCATTGCACTTGGTGATGTATGGCTTGGATGCAGCTGCTCGACCATGGAAACCCATTCCGTGAAGCTCTCTGCGCACTGTTCTTGAGCTAATCTGAAGGCCACATGAAGTTTGGAGGTCTGTAGTGATTGACTCTGCAGAAAGTTGGCGACCTCTTCGCACTATGCGCGTCAGCATCCGCTGACCCCGCTCCGTCAGTTTACGTGGCCTACCACTTCGTGGCTGAGTTGCTGTCGTTCCCAAACACTTCCATTTTCTTATAATACAGCTGACAGTTGACTGTGGAATATTTAGGAGCGAGGAAATTTCACGACTGGATTTGTTGCACAGGTGGCATCCTATCACAGTTCCACGCTGGAATTCACTGAGCTCCTGAGAGCGACCCATTCTTTCACAAATGTTTGTAAAAACAGTCTGCATGCCTAGGTGCTTGAATTTATACACCTGTGGCCATGGAAGTGATTGGAACACCTGATTCCAATAATTTGGATGGGTGAGCAAATACTTTTGGCAATATAGTGTATCTTCCCAATCATTAAGTCAGTCCTGGATTTTTACTCTTATTTCTAACATTCCTGATTTTGATCTTTCATGGCCCCTTTGAAGGTTAAAATTTATTTCCTGTTTTTCTATATTATAACCACAAACTTCAGAACACAAACTTCTATTTAATTGGAATTTATTTGATGCAACACCTAAAATTGATACATAATTGAAGTAAGAAAATTAAGAATTCATTATTTTATGTACTTCAAGAGTGGTTAGCATTTGTATTTAGCCAACTTTAAACCTTTAGAAGTCAGATTATTTCAAAAAGTTTACTGATTTGCAATTGAATCTCAGTATTTGGTTCATTGGCAAACAATAAGCATAACAATAAGCAACCAAGAACAAATCGAACACATCAGGCATGAAGCTGTGAAGAAGTATAATAATATTTGATGCAGTCTTAGGTTATAAAACATCAAATGTTTTATATATACACTGCTCAAAAAAATTAAAGGAACACTTTGAAAACACATCAGATCTCAATGGGGGAAAAAACATGCTGTTTATTTATACTGATATGGACTGGGTGATTTGTTAGGAACAAAAGGAAGGATTATTTGATGGAAATGAAGATTATCAATCTACAGAGGGCTGAATTCAAAGACCCCAAAAATTACAGTGAAAAAAATGATGCGGCAGGCTAGTCCATTTCGCTGAAATTTCATTGCAGCTACTCATAAAGGTATTCATTAATTTATGGCCCCCACGTGGATGTATGCATGCCCGACAACGTCGGAGCATGCTCCTAATGCCACATGAGGCCGGGCATTGTCATGCACCAGGAGGAACCCAGGACCAACTGCACCAGCATAGGGTCTGACATTGGGTACAAGGATTTCATCCCGATACCTAATGGCAGTCAGGGTACTGTTGTGTAGCCTGTATAGGTCTGTGCGTCCCTCCATGGATATGCCTCCCCAGACCATTACTGACCCACCAATAAACTGGTCATCTGAACGATGTTGCTGGCAGCGTAACGTTCTCCACGGCTTCTCCAGACCCTTTCACGTCTGTCACGTGCTGAGGGTGAATCTGCTCTTATCTGTGAAAAGCACAGGGCGCCAGTGGCGGACTTGCCAATTCCGGTGTTCTGTGGCAAATGCCAATTGAGCTCCACTGTGCCGGGCAGTGAGCACAGGGCCCACTAGAGGACGTCGAGCCCTCAGGCCACCCTTGTGACGTCTGTTTCTGATTATTTGGTCAGAGACATTCACACCAGTAGCCAGCTGGAGGTCATTTTGTAAGGCTCTGGCAGTGCTCCTCCTGCTCCTCCTTGCACAAAGGAGAAGATACCGTTCCTGCTGATGGGTTGTAGACCTTCTACGGCACTGTCCAGCTCTCCCGGAGTAACTGCCTGTCTCCTGGAATCTCCTCCATGCTCTTTAGATTGTGCTGGGAGACAGAGGAAAACCTTCTGGCAATGGCAGGTATTGATGTACCATCCTGGAGGAGTTGGACTGCCTGTGCAACCTCTGTAGGGTCTAGGTAGCGCCTCATGCTAACAGTAGTGACAGTGACCATAGCCAAATGCAAAACTGGTAAAAAAGAGTCAGAAAAGATGAGGAGGGGAAAAAATGTCAGTGGCCTCCACCTGTAAAGCCATTTCTGTTTTGATGGTCGTCTTGTTGTTGCCCCTCTAGTGCACCTGTTGGTAATTTCATTAACACCAAAGCAGGTAAAACTGATAAACAACCCCCTCTAATACTTACCTGAACAAATCAATATTCATCCATCCATCCCTCCATTTTCTAGCACGTTTATCCCGAGTGGGGTCGCAAGGGGTGCTGGTGCCTATCTCGAGCAGTCAATGGGCGAGAGGCGAGGTACACCCTGGACAGGTCGCCAGTCAATTGCAGGGCCAAATCAATATCCCAAAAGTTTATTTAACTTGATGCTATACTCTGATTTTTTTTGAGTAGTGTGTATGAAAAACAGGAAGAGAATAGCATGACTTCTACATGCGCAGGCTGCCTAACTAAATTTACCAAGGAGACCATTAATCAGGGAAACAGCACACAGACCCTAAGCATTCTGACTATATTGTCTATCACAACTACATTGACTAAAGGATATTGAAATCATCTGATTTAATGTGACCAATTTTTAGACACTTTTATGGTAAGATAAACATTTAGAGTATGAATATTTTTTAATTTTAACACTGTCCCATCTATAGCTGTCAGCACTGGTTGAAAATCTTTTTAAAACAATTCAACTGAGAACAGCACACAAATAGGAGCAATGGTTGAAACTCCAAATGGTTCTTGTAAATACTTTTTAACTTAGATCATTCTGAGTCCCACCCTTGAAAACATACTTCTCCCTTTCTGACATCATGGTCCCCAGTGAGCTTTAAGTGTCCAAACGCCTCGCTCCCTCTCCTACTGCTCAGCTTGCATGAATTATAGTTCCCCTAATTTTGTTTTTTTTGGACTTACTTTCCACATTTTTAGTTAGCACATTACTAAAGAAATCTTACTATAATTATCAGCCAGGACCTCTTAAACCACCTGTTCTCTAACAAGCAAAACATATACAGTTGCTACACACACTAGAATTGACATTGCTTGTAATAAGGGGCCATTATCAATATTAATTTCTATATGAATATGGAGTTTGCTTAAATTAAAATGATAAAACCTATAAAAGTTGTCATACTGTATAATAGGGCTGAAACAATTATTTGGATTAATTGTGACAAATCGATTATTGAAGTAATCGTCAACTTATTTAGTAATCAATTAATCTTTAACTGGAATATAGAGATTCTAAAACATACCTTTATTTGACAGAGAAACCCACCTAGAGCAGTAATTATACCAAAATTGTAAAAAAAAAATAAAATAAAAATTAATATTTTGCATTTGAGATAAAACAAATCTTTTTCGCCTGTCAATATTCTCTATCCAGAACTCCTCAAGTGGAAAAGTTTTTGTTTCACCTGGTTTGATATCATAAAAAATCTTCTTTAAGGAAACTTTGGTTACCCGATTATTAATCGATTAATCGAAAAAATATTGGACAGATTAATCGATTTGCAAAATAATTGTTAGTTGCAGCCCTACTGTACAATAATATCAAGGGAAGGTTTGAATCATTGTACATCTCAGCCTTTTAAACCTTTTTCAAGTAAACAATTCTTGGAGTGTGAGAAGGATTAACCTTGAGTATTTCCTTTGCTAGGAAAATCTACTGATTTCTCTACGGATTCTTTCGATTCCTTGTTGAATCGGACTTCTTGGGATAACCCGCCTTTCTCCGTTAAAGTGTACCACAGAACGCTGATTCATGAAGACTGTAAAGTCTTTGACCCCGTTACAGAGAGCTGTGCCTTAGAGAATTGCAGCTTATACAGAGGATTTGTCTGTCAATTTAAAAATGGTAAGTATTTTTCTTGACAGTTTTTTATTTCATTGTATTGAGATCCTGCTCGGACTCATGTGCTGTAAAGTAATTATTTATTATAAATCACAAAAAATATGTCAAGGTTGAGCACAATAAGCAACTTGTCATGATGCGTGGTTGGTTTGCTAGCCCTAGGATGCAGAACTCACAGACTCAGAGGCAGGATAAAGTCCAATATTTATTTATGAACACCGATAATCTGCCCTGGAAGGCAGTGAGGACAGAAAACAGGTTAAACTCAGGGATCAAAAACTAAACTGAAAACTCACGGGTTCGCTGGTTCAGACAGGCAGAGTAGCACAGGTAACGGACATGGCAAGGCGTGGCAAAACATGGCTAACATGGCAAGACATGCTACATGGCTTGGGAACACATGGCTAGGAAACACAAGGCTGAACATGGCTGTGGGTAACACATGCTACGATCCGGCCCAGAGTGAAGCTGTCACACAGCTTATATGGGGAGAGGTTAATGAGCAGAGCTGATGGGAAACAGCTGTGCGCTGAGAACCAGCTCCCAGGAGAAGGATCCACATCGCCCTCTGGTGGGCAACCTCTGGATCCCAACAGGAAAAGAAGCTCACAGGAAGGGATCCAAACAGAAACAGAAGCTACAGAATGGGATCCACACCGCCCTCTGGAGGGCAAACCTTGGATCCCAACACAACTCATATTCTTGCTGTCTTTAACTAAAATTTTAACTTAGCAAGAGAAGGTGTTAAGCATTTCACAGTTAAAAAAAAACAACCACTGTTTTGTTTTTTTTGGTACCATAAAAATCTTCTTGTCTGCTGACTGCAGGGAACATGATGGTCTACATGGATCTAAGGGCTTAGACCACTAAAATGGAGAAAAACTGTTGATAGATCTGAAAATAAATAATATTCAAATTATTTCAGAAGTAAAACTACAGCTGATGAAATTTCAGTCTTCATAAAAGGTGCTTTTTTATTTAACAGTTAAAAATAAAGTGGACAAATTGCTTTCTGATGACTTCTAAACAGAACAATATTGCATTAAACAAGAATATGTGTTGAAATCATCTGACAATGTCTTAAGATCTGATGACTTTCACTTCTTCATTCCCCTTTCCAGACATAAAATTATGCATATAAAAATGATATATCTCATTAATTATAATATTTGCATTTTTGTATTTATTTATTTAGTCTTGTGGTGGTTTGTTTGAAATCCATTGATTCATTCAATCAGATTGAAAAAGTTAAACTTTTCAACACATAAAAAAAAAAATAGGATTTTGATACTGCATTTATCTGATTAAACCTTTGATCCATTTTTACACCTAGATTTGTAAACATGTTTTCTATTATGCATCCAGGAAGAAAAGACTGGTACGTGTGACTCATTTTTGCCCTTTGGTCTAAACCAATAACTTTAGCTTTGATCTAAAGAGTTAAGCATGGACACTTTGACAGATATTCCCATACTGTGCTTTATGCAGTCATCTGCATACAAGGAAATAATATAATAATTTTCCAAATATAGACCCAAACTGCAGCGATTATAGTGAAATGCAAGGAGAGGAACAAAATAAGTCCTTAGTGTACACTTAAGAGTTCAGCAGAGAGAAAATCAGTAATCCGGAAAGAATGACTGCTTTTATGAATTAAAGCTGACTAATCCTGGCTATTGTTATAAGCACTTGTCCAACAAGGATAAATATGAAATGTAGCCTTCATGGTTGGTCTGACAGCTTTTTGTTGTCTTCATTTTTGCAGAAAATGTCAGTTTACCCAAGTCCCCTTTTGTCAGTAGACTGATTGAAGATCAAAAGATCAGACAGGTAAATTGCGAAATTTTGTTATCATAGATCTATGGAAAAAGATTTTTGAGTGTGCTGAAGGAAACCTTAATAAAAGAGTATCTATCTATCTATCTATCTATCTATCTATCTATCTATCTGTCTGTCTGTCTGTCTGTCTGTCTGTCTGTCTGTCTGTCTGTCTGTCTGTCTGTCTGTCTGTCTGTCTGTCTGTCTGTCTGTCTGTCTGTCTGTCTGTCTGTCTGTCTCTCTGTCTGTCTGTCTGTCTCTCTGTCTGTCTTTTTCTCTCTCTCTCTAGGTAATGGAGGACCTAAGCACCAACACCTTGCAAAGTACAGATCTGACCTCCTTGCAGCAGCTGACTCAGGCCGCTTTGAATACCATAGAGGCTGCCGGCCCTCACCCTTTAACCTCAGATGACATCCTCTACTTCTCCCAGCTGATTGATAGTACTGCAGCCAGAGCCCATTCTGCAGGCGCCAATTCAGCAGAGGTCATGGTGTCCATTGCTACAAACTATCTAAACCTTGCAAGTGTGATGCTTGAGCCACACATAGCATCACAGTGGATTGGTTGGACGGAGGATGGGGTGAGAGAGGACATTTTCTTCTGCTTATAGTGATTCTCATTCGTTATTCATCGTTCCCTTAATTGTGATTTTTCTGAACTCTTTGAAGGTCAACATTGGGCCATTTACAATTATCAAAAGCATTGATAGCCTCACTGAAGCTCTAGCTGATTCTCTTTCTATTGAGCAAAGAGGCTTCACTCTCTCCACGAAGAACATAGGTAATATGTTTTGGGATTATTCTTTACATCTTAATGCCATCGTTCCATAGACACATGACATAATGCATAAAAATAATAATTATGCTGATCTTATGATTATAGTTTGTTTCTTATGCTACTAGATGTGTTGCTAAAGTGGCAAAAACTTACTGACCAGAGCAGTGATCGGGTCTTCAAGCCGTCTAAAGTCACCTCTCAAAGGTACACCGGAAGAAGTCATGATGAGCTGATTATCCCAGACTCTGAACTCCAGCGGATACATCGATTAGGTAAGAATTAAATGCACACCTTATATTTGTCTGCCATGGAAATTATTTTCCACATGGTAAAATTTCAAACGCAAACATCAACAAAATGTTAAAGTTGAAAGCCCTATTCACACAGGATTAGTCTAACCTAGGGACCTCGTGTAATAAATAAATTACCCCCTGTTAGCTTTTTAGGTGGCACATTGGCCTGGGATAACATGACCTGAGATGTTGCTTATATCTACAGATATCCAGTGGATTTGACGTTAAGCAAGGGTACCTTGTGTTTACTCATGCTATAAAACCTGTTTAGTTTTCTAAAATTAACTTCTATTTTCATTCTTTAACTCTTGTTCATTAGAAATTTGTAATAATAATATAGATATACCAGCCCCAAGCCATACAATTACTGAGGATTATGAAACATGGCACACATGTGTAACCCACAAAGACTTGCAAAAAAGTCTTTTGGCGCCATGGTCTAATCGCCAAAGGAAGACGGCCATTTTGGATTAAATATGCCATTTTCTGTTGTTGACTCATGTCTTTTGTCAGCAAAATGCTCCTAGAGCTTTTGAGTTAGAGACTTCAAATTCACTCTCCATGGATTTTAAGCATAAGGGATTAAAACCAATCAAAATAATTGTTGCACATTGAAGTATTTTGGTGTGGCCAAGCATCAAAATCTGATCTCCTGCCCTACAACATCATGGTTTCATAACTTTAATAACTAAGGTCAGAGGAGTACATTTTTTTCTGTGTTTCATCTTGGAACAGCTTTCAAAACAAACAGATTTGAGAATATCAGTTTAGCCCCGCCCCCTGAGTCCAGGATGTCCAATATTTTACTGCCGGAAGCCCTTGTCTTTCTGTGCGTGCTTTATGGGATGAGAGATGGCTAGAACTCCTGTCAGGAAGGTCGAATTTACGCCACATTGGCGTAGGCGTGGGGTTGGGGATGCGCGGGTCCAACAGTTATGATAGGAAGAGCGGTGCTGACCTGCCAGAGCCGTCCAAAGCCACTTGCGGCTTTAATTATTGTCTATAACTTCATTTTGGGTAGATGCTTATTTTTAGATGTTTCTTGTCTTCCACTTTTTTTGTCCTGTACGATGTGGACTAATGTTGTTTTGTTGGTCTGGGACTCATGAGGTTTTCTGTACATTAAAATGCATCTATTCCTTACTTATAGCAAATAAAAAGGCATCCAGGAAACAAAAACCTGATTTATCCTGCCCTTTCCCCCCAAATCACAGAGATGTCTAATCACATTGGATTAGTATTATTTCAAGGCCTCAGCATTTAGCAAAATCTAGCAGGTGATCTACGGGGCAGTTTTTAACTTACAAATCGCTGATATGGTATATTCTTATAGAATAAAATTACAGTCTCCATGATTATTACAAAACACATGTGGTCCCTACGTAAAATTAATAACTCTTTACAAACCCACACAAACTCCTATTAGATGTTTTTTGCATGTGAGGACATTAACATGTTCAAGTGAACTTGCAGTTGAAAATGTTCTTTTGTTCTTGTCTTAATTTCCAAAACTATTGGTTTTCAAGTGTTATGATTAGACGCTGGTTGGGTTAAACATGGCACTAATTTTTTGTATTCATTTTCTTTTACTCTCTGTTATAACAGGATGTAAGGAGGTGATGTTCATTCATAGCCACTACGGCCACCTCAGTGAGGTGGTGTCTGCAGCAGAGCAACCTGCAGAAAGTCAGAGCGACAAAGCTGGAAGGTTAGCCACCGTTGCCCCGATTTTGCTGATATTATAAAATTACTACAATATAAACATTTCAAACATTTTATTTAACTCATGCAATTTTTAAAATGGTGTCGAATAGCAAAGTTATATTTGATAAAACCTTTAGAGGTATGGAATGTACTCCCTTTCTTATTTTAAATAAATGTCAACAATCAATAATTTCCTGCTGTTATCAGGCTTACAAAAAGGTAGGATCACATTTGAGGCTTGTATGTGCGCAACGGTCCATAATTCAGATAAACTGTGGTACTAGATTAATTTAAAAATATATATATTTCAGTAGGACATATGTCATTTACAACCATCCTTGCCTTTCCAGTGTTCTTTCAGGCAAACTAAGCTCTGCTGTCATATCAGCAAGCGTTCGAGACGTCTCTAAGGCAAAAACCATCCCTGTTGCTGTCCAGTATACCCTTTCATCTTCACAAGTGGTACAGGAAATTTTTCAGGCATCCTTACACACACATATGTACTTAGACCATTATTACTTTTCAACAATTAGTGCTTTTCAGTGTCGTTGATGCATCTACTTCCATCCGAAAAGGAAATGTTCTTTCTTAAAGTGAAACTTGTAAACTCTGTGTATGTAAGAGTGTGTAAGAAGTGACAGTTCATTTATGAGGATAAGAGTCCAAAAAAATGACCAGTGCAACAAATCAAAGGCAGTGATTTTCTTATAAAATAAAGCTTAGCCAGGTTTGAGATGATACATATAAAATGTAAGCTGCATTATAGTTAGAAATCTCTTTAAGGCTGACCTATGTAAATTACGATATTGTGACACTATGTTGTACAGTGAGATATTTCCACATGTTTTTCTTTCCAGGTGGATTATTCCCAGAACAATTCTGCTGTTTGTGCATTTTGGAATTTCAGCTTGATGTAAGTTTTACAAACAGGAAACGTAATCAAACAGTTGGAGCATTCTTCTCTAATATTAGATTGCAAAAAAATGTCGAGATGGGTTTTAGTCAAACAATATTAACACCTTAGCATCATAAAGCTTTAAAACAGACTGATGTGTAAAACTCATCCATCCATCCATCCATCCATCCATCCATCCATCCATCCATCCATCCATCCATCCATCCATCCATCCATCCATCCATCCATCCATCCATCCATCCATCCATCCATCCATCCATCCATCCATCCATCCATCCATCCATCCATCCATCCATCCATCCATCCAACTAATCACCATTTCTTTTTGTCTCAATATTCTTGTTATCTAGGCACATCCATACCAGTAGCTGGTCCAGTGATGGCTGTTCTATGATCCCTGTCTCCTCTGGAGTCACTTCTTGTTTGTGTAACCACACAACCAATTTTGCTGTTCTGATGAACTACTTTGAACCTGAGGTAAAACCTGAAATATTTTAATGAGGTAAATATCTTTATGTATGTGAAACACATGTAGCTGAAACTAGAGGACCACTCATGAACACATTCTTTTGTCATAGAAGGGACGTTTAATTTAGTTTGGTTTAACTGATGAATACTTTATTAATCCCCAATGTAAATTAAATTGTGTAAAAAACCTGTGATAAAAAAAATGTTAACTAACAATATAAGAAAATCTTTGAAAGATTCACATTACATACAAATCTCCATCTTTGTTCCTGTGTTTCAGTGGAGTCCTGAAGAAAAGCTTATTTTGACCAAGCTTACGTTCATTGGTTGTGGCGCCTCACTCTGCGCACTAGTGGTGACCCTGATGCTCTTCACTGTGCTGGAGTGAGTAGTTAGTCAATGTTCCTTAACTGTTTACTAAAGATGCAGATGATAACAAAGAGACATTATGTCTGACCTGTTTAGTTTTAGAAAAAAATTTAATCGACCGGCCCTTATTGCAATGTGTGGATTAAAGTATTTAATTGATTATTTATGATAATGAAAGGGATTTTTATGTTATTTAATTTAGTCCCATTAGATAAAATGATATGCTGTTTAACTCCAGAAGAGTAGCTTAATTAAGCTGAATTATCAACTGGCATTAGATGACATACTGGACCTTAGCTCCGCCCTCTGTGTCCTACAGAGCTCTGTCAGTATTGACTTGTTCTAATGCAGTAATTGCTGCTGTCTACATGTGATTCTGCTTAGAGGTTTTATGGGGGAAAAACTGCAGCTGATAATTAACATTAGAGTCACACAGGGATCTCAATCAGCAGAAGAGGTGCTGCCCTGACAATTTATAAATGTCTTTAGAGCTCAGAGGGCAGCAGGTCGTTTAACACAGTCTACAGTATGATCTTCATTTAACTCATCACACGGATGAAACACTGATGGGCAGAGCTGAAGATTAGCAAAGAGACTGTAAGATTTATTTGGTGTGAAGTACTGGTGCTGGCATTAGTCTAATTGGGTCAAATCTTTGAGCTTTAATTGATGTTTTAGTACCAGGCACCACAGCAATATTTGCACGCATATGTGAGGTGAAGTGCAAACGTGTTATAATACTTTGGTGGTCCCAGTTTTATTCTGCTCCAGTTTGATTATGCCTGTGATGGCGGTTCTAAAAACAAATGAAGCAGGAACAAAGCAATGACTGCTACCTATCTAACAGAGTATTTGCAAGTCTGTTGATGCATTTATGTTGTCAGCAAAGATACTGTTTAATGCAGTCTGGCTGTTTTATTCTTGAAAAGAATATAATGATCCGTGAGACTTTATATTCAGTTGCTCCTTGCAGGGAGTTTTTTGTTGCCAAAATGCTCAATCAAAAGCAAAGATTATATTAATGGGTTACCTGTCAAACCAAGAGTTGGGCAATACATAGCATCTGATTATTTATTATGAAGACATGGTGACCTCATAATTTGCATTATGATCATTCAATGCATTCTCACTCCCAAGACGTCAAAATTGACGCTTGGTTAAGCTTTTCAGGTCGCAACCTGTCATGTTGGGTGCATTGCAGGTAATTGCAGAAACTTCAAGCATTTTCTATTAACTGCACGCCATTAAACTAGCACTAACCCATCCCTGTTACCGTACACTCCTAAAGCATCCTGCAATTACACTTTTTGGCTAAAAATGTTTTAAACATTGTTTTGGGTCAAGTGATACAATGTCCACAACATGTCATTTACCCTGGAAATCAATAAATTACGAGAAGGGTTCCCTCATCATGTCAGTATGTGATGCGCAGGGAGCTTTAACCAAAAGCATATTGTGCAATATGGAGGAGTTGGGATTAAGGTTGGATCATCTGACTCATTTATCATATCCAGTTTAGTGAGCAGTGGCTTAGAGCTCTATGTTACATTACACACACACTCAGAGGAGACAGAAAACCTAAGATGTAAAAAAATTGAAAACAGTGATTTCCAGAGTAAAACTACTGTCAAACTTTTTATTTTAAAGGGATAATTCAGTTGTGTCTCTTGTTATTTTGCTTTGTTTTGCATACATTGTTTTCTTCACTAAGAACTACATGGTATCGATCTAAAATCTTCTGTTAACCCTTTCATGCATAGTGGTCACTACAGTGGACAGTTATTAAATGGTTGTTTTCTCTTAAATGAACATGTTTTAATGTCACATTTGCACATATGTTACTACAGTGGATGCTAATGTATCATCCTGCCACTTGTCAAACTGCCACCTACTTGTCAGCCTTTGCAAGTGACTTTTTTTTCCTCAAAAAAAAAAAATGGCCGACAGAGGAGCACATGGGTTGTGAGGGAGAGGAATATCTGCTCATTCCTTCTATTCTAGGCGATCCTTGCAGGTAAAAAAATATGGGGACATCAAGTAACAATAGTTTTCTTTAAAACAAAACAAAACAAGATTATATCAGTTGCACAAATGCGCATTGTCCACCCAAGTGGACATGTTACCAACTCCCTAAAGAAAGTATATTTTTTAAAAAAATTTATGAAAATGTTTTTTAAAAACACTTGGTAAAAAAATCATAACATATACTATCATAATTCATGCATGAAAGGGTTAAAATAAAATAATTATTTGGAATCTTTTTTGCATATCCTTATCAGATGTTTCAATAAATACTTTGAGACTTATCTTCAGGATCCACACATAATCAGAGTTCTTTGTTTTGTTTTATCCGTTCTTTTATTTTGTCTTAGAGGGGTTAATTATTTAGAAGAGGAGTGATATTAAAAAGATTACAGATTTACAACAATCCTCTGAGCTGTTTTTATACATCTAATGGGGATCTATCAGGAGACAAAACCTAGAAAAACCTTTAATTTGAATTCACAGATTTCATCAGCAGCCATGTGATGTGATACAGCCACACAGCACGTTTTTCTCTGTAACATCCCTCTCTCTGTTTATAGCATCCCTAAATCAGACAGGACCTCCATCCATAAAAACCTCTTCACAGCTCTGATCTGTGCCCAGGTGATTCTGCTCTGCAGTGGCTCAGCCATTCACAACAAGGTACTGTACAGGCTATAAACAAATCTTCTTTTATTTACTGTGAGTAATGTAGTCGCTCTTAGGGACAGATTATGAAAAAGTGAATCAAATGAGACAGCAGAAGTTTGCTAGTTGGAGAATATACTGTTATGGAGCTGATGTTCTTTATATGTGTACTTTAATTTTATTTGGTAATAATGAAGGAATGTTTATTGGAAGGTCGAACGAACCAAATAAAATCTTTGAGGTTGCAGAGATTAAAAAATGAATAGAAAACAGCTGATTTTGCTAAATGATTAGATCTAAAGAAATAGAACAGTTAGCTTAGTAACTGCAGTGGTCGCACAGTCAGCTGAACTCCTGCTCTTTGTATCCATAGTCAAGACTGGATTTAACCCTGAGGGTGAGAGGATGCTTGTTAGTTATTTCAGCACTTAACAAGGTCTACCACAGTAAGACCCCAAACAGTACAGTATAATTCATTTGTTTGGAAGACTAATGTGATTTAAATGCTTTATATATTTTCCTACATCTTTAGCCCATAATAAGCTGGATTTAGAAAGCCATGACTTAAATTTGTATTTATATTTCATGTTATATCAGCCATATTATTATGGACATTAATGAGCTTTTTATGGGACTAACTTTAGTGAAAATATTCATTCTTTGCAAAAAAAAAACTATCTGGACAAAGAACACCTTTGCTATGACATGTGAAAGCCTCAACACTTCTCTTTATTAGTGGTGTTTTTATTTTGTTTATTTTACAGGTGGCGTGTACACTTGTAGCTGCACTGCTCCATCTCTTCTTCATGGCATCTTTTAGCTGGATGCTTGTCGAAGGGCTGCTGCTCTGGAGCAAAGTAGTTGCAGTCAACCTCAGCGAGGTTCATCATATGAAGTATTACTATCTCATTGGCTGGGGTACGGTGGCTTTGCAAATTATTATTTTATTTTGTGGCTGGAAAAGTGGCTTTGAATAGAAAAGTGTTTTTTGTAAAAGGTCTAGTGCCTCTACTAGGAAAAAAACAAAAAAAATTGGTGTCTTAAGTATACATGTAATATATATAAATCCCTTTATTATCCCACAATGGGGAAATTCACTCTCTGCAATTTACCAATTCCCTTGGGAAGCAGTGGGCTGCCATTGTGTGGCACCTGGGGAGCAATCAGGGGTTAAGGGTCTTGCTCAGGGACCCACAGTGGAGCCTCTGGGGATCGAACTGGGGATTTGCAACATTATCTGAGCACGAGTGCTCTGCAACTGACAACTCTGCAAAGATAAACAGTCTCTCTCTGTGATTTGGATTCTAATAGCAGAACATTTTGGACCTGCAAAAAACCAAGTAATGGAGTTACTAGTAAAGTCAAGGCCTCATTCGCTCTTCTAGATTACATTCCTACATCACAGCGGATAAAATTTCTTATCACATCAAGTGCCATATTTGTTTTATTAGCTAATACCAAGCTTTTAGCTTTGTTAACTCTTGTGTTTAAGGGGAGTTCAGAAAGACTATGAGTCAAATATCTCATTCAGTGACGGATCCGATCCTCTAAAGTAAAATATGCAAGTTTCTGAGAAGAGCAGGCCATCCAGAGCATTGAAAAGAACCAAGTGCTGTATATTGACCTGAAAACTCATTTCATGTCTCAAATAAACATCATACTTGGGTCAAAGGTTACACACTGTTGCCTTAAGTAGATATTCTTTGAGATTAAAAACAATCTGGTAAATAGGACTAGAGACTCCATTGCCACAGATGTTTGTAATTTTTATTAGGATCTTTAAAAAATCAGTTTAATTGAATTAGTTTTAATATTTTTATCCTTCCCAGGTCTGCCTGTACTGATAGTAACCATTACTCTTGCATCAGCCTCTGGTAAATATTCAGCTGATGACTACTGCTGGCTCAGTGTCCAGAATGGCATCATTTGGGGATTTGTTGGACCTGTTATCTTCATCATAATGGTTAGTATTTTTTTTTTAGTAGTTTCTAATGTTTTTTTTTTTTCAGTGCTAAAAATTAACAAATAAAATAAAAAGCATAGTGTTTAGATTTTTTGACAGATAAGAAACAGTTTGTTCCTTTAGATATTCAACAGATTGATCAGTGTTTGCAATATAAAAATTTTTTTAACCTTATTTCTTAAATTAGATTAATGATAGCTTATAATTTTGCTCTTTTTCCTTAACTGAAATGCCACAAGAAAAGACATACTATTCAATGTTGTGTTTTTTTCTTTTCGTTTTGATTCTCAGATTATTTTTACCTTTCTCACAGTCGTAATGAAAATACAAATGATAGAATAACTTCCAAAAAACTTAAAAGCAAACCACTTGACTTTGTTTTCCAAGTTTAGGACATTTATTTTCCCATCCAGAAAGCTTTCTCAATTCAAAATGGAAAATAACTCAATCATTTTTTTTTTGTTTGTTTGTTTTTAATGTTTTTTGCATATTTCCAGGTCAACATCTTGGTTCTGACCAGAGTGGTAATTATCACCATCTCCACAGCTAAGAGAAGGTCCATCATGCTTGTCTTGGGCCTGAGTCCTGTTGAACAAGCCTATGAGCAAATCAGGTAGTGACCACTAGGAGGCACCATTTGTCCTCTTTTCAAAATAAATGCACCCAGGGTAACGTTGTATTGAGTCAAATCCACATTTATTTTCTTCTTATTATTAATCTGCAGAATTTTATTTTTATAATTAAGTAGGTTTGTTTAATATTATATGAACACAGACCTAAAATTCATACCTCATATTCATACAGTTTGTCTCCCTCTTATGTTTCATGTTGTTCTCTTTAGGATCTCCAAAATGTTTTGGTTTATAACTAAGTACCGTGTCACTTTTTAAATCTGATGCAGAGAAACTATTAAGAGCCTCATTGCCTGTAGTCATATTAAAAAAAATTTGCATGCTGAATATCGTGCAACTTTTTTTCATCTTTTGTTCCCACTTTGTTTATTAAGCAAAAATATCACAAATAACATATCTCAAAAAAGTACAGCTTTCTTTTTGTAAGAAAAACAAACCCCCACACATATAAACAAACAAACTGACATTCAAAAGCAAACAAAAACCTTAACATTAAAGAGCAAATGCTAAATGCATAACATATTCAAATAGCTAAATAGACACAGACAACTTCAGCATATAATACATGCACATTATGTCCATTTTAAGCATTGGGGTCTGGAATAAGTGAGATATCAGACTTGTTAACATACTCAAGGAATGGTCCCCATAGATTCATAAACATAATAGCATGCATCTCTATGTTGGTTGTGTTCAGAACGGATGTTAATCCAAATAAAAAGTATATTTTATGTTGATGTTTTAATTCTTAGCTCCATTGTAGAGGACAGTGGATGCTCTGTGAGAGCTTTCAATGCAGCCCTTGAACTGTTTAGCACCTCTAGACGACAAGCCGCCGTGGAAACTTGAACGCTTTGGCCCACAGAATAAAGCAGCTCCAGTGGCATGTCATTTCACAAACACACAAACGCACAGACAGCTGTTGCGGTTTGGCAGTCACCTGAGTGGGAAGTTAATTTGACTCTAAACAGAATTAAGTCACATTGAGGGTGGGAAGTTGTCACCACATCAGATTTTCTTGCCCACATGGTTTTGTGTATAGAGGAAGCAGCTTACTGGAGCTGCTGAATTTTCCTCTATGAAGAGTTGAAAATGTAACTGATGGATATTAGTCCAAGCTGGAAGATGTACTAATCAAGCTTAATATAATCAGAAAAGAATGAGTAAATATTTTTTGCTGCTGCTTGTTTGAGTCCAAAAAAATATTTATCCATGTAAGGACAAACTTAATAAACCTCATTTAGCATCAGCTCATAAAAAATATAGTATGTGTATTTGAAGCTTTACTCATTTTAGTTTTAAATATAGTTCCTCTATCAATAACCAGGTAAGAGTTTTTCTCTTAATTCTACGTTTCTTGGCTAAAAAAGAGAAAACATTTGGAGCAAAATTCATTTGAATTGGAAATCAAAGCCAATATGTTGACACAACTTAATCAGTTTTGAAAATCTTTACCAAGACATGTCCTTTATCAGTTTGTACACCTAAAGTTTTTTTCTTTAATGTGTGTTTTAATGCTCATATTTTCAAATATTGTTTAATTTCCTTATATGATTCATTCAGGGCTGCAGTGAAAGCAGTGTTGGTGTTGCTGCCGATCCTCGGACTGACGTGGTTGTGTGGTGTTTTGGTCCCATTTTCCATCGTCATGGCCTATCTCTTCATTCTTCTCAACTCCCTACAGGTATGCTTACTCTCTTCTTAATATAATATGTGAAGATACAGCCGATTAGTAATCACTAAAGGTGGATTGAATGCATTTCTAAATAGAAATAATAATTGATTTCACAAAGTTTTACATTTATTTATTTATTTTTTTAATAAATAGTCAAAGCTCTGTGAAAACAAAACAAGCTTAATTTTCCCATGAATTCAGCACACTCGTACATGTGATTTATTTATATTTACATGTGATATTGTGCTATTATGATTGCACAAGATCTCTGAACCTGAAAAAAAGCAGAACTCAATGTAAAAGCAGCAATAGACATAACTGCACAATTATTATTATTATTATTAAGGATCAGATGTCTTAAGTAGGAAATCATTATATTGGATTTTAACATTCATTTGTATTAATACCAAAAAAAATATGAAATCTGAAGATTAAGAATTTTTGAAATGTCCTTTTTTATTTATTTAGTAGCTGCAACATAAAAATATGAGTTAAGTTTCTCATCTGTTGGCAGTGCAGCTCTCTGCTGGGCATCTTTGAGACCTTTCATATAGATGTAACTTTGACATGTTGTGCATAAATACAGCAGATTTAGCTCACTGCTTTCGTTGAAAATCCAATCTCTGGCCACAGTAGCTCCAAAATATTGTGACACACTTCATGTCCATCCAGGAAACAGCATACTGGTAAAATGAATTCACTACCAGAACAAAAAAAAAAAAAACGTTACTTTTTAATCCAGGCGCCCCAATTCAAATGCTGCTTAACACATGTGGCTAGCATCTTTCATTCTATTAAAACCTATATGATAGAGCAACATTTTGCATTTCTCATGAATTAATTAGCATGTTGCTAATCAAGCATTAGACTTTAAAAATTTATTTTTTTAAACTTTTCTGTACGTTTGTGCCTCGTCAAAGAAAAACAGTACAAAGCTGTATTTACAGCAGAAAAAAAGCCACACCTTTTAAAACGTTTTAAGTTCCCAGTTTAATAAAAGAAGAAAGATCAATGTGATCCATTTAACGTGCGTTCTCTTCTGTTAGCATTAAGGTTGTATGAAACAACAATGAAAAAAATTAGATATTGAAGAAAAAATGCCGCGTTTAAAGCTGGCACTTTATCTGAAGTGCTATTTAGTTATAACAAATCTTAAGTGACTAATCTGATTGTCAAGCTGTTATTTAGTTTAATTCATAACCTGTTAAGTACTTAACTGTTAAAGTATGAGTGATGTAAGGGAGGTTAGTTGTGCTTATATTAAATAAGGCCCTTAAATAAAAAGTTGCTCAGGGCTTAGGTCAGCCTCACTTTAAGTTTGGCTGAAAAAAACTCCACTTTAATTCTAATTCCACTGTTTCTATATTCTCCCTCACTTACAAGCCCACATATTGGCCTCATCCAAGTACATACAGTATATACTTGCTTATAATAATGTATTTTACTGTATCAATGTATCTGTCAGTATTTGTTTTTCCTTATATGAAGCTTTTAAAGCAACCATTTGTTGGTTGTTATTAGCAGGAAAAGGGGAAAAGGTCGTGAAGAACTTCAGAGTTTAAATGATTTAAGCAATTTCTTCGCAAATAGGAAACAAACAGGTTTTCCATTAAACTTAGCCATTTTGAATTCCTTGCATCAAGAGGATTCAAAATGTATCAAGTTTCTTTATTTGTTTTTGACAAATGTCAAGGAAAATGGGAAAATGTTGATTTAGTTTGCTTTAAAAAGTGAATCGTTATAACAGGAAAACGGTAAAGTCATTATCATCTTGTATATGAAGCCCAGCATAATTATTCTTCAGCTCACATTATTATTAAAAAAATGCATTATATCCTGTAGATTTTGTGTTGTTTTTGTTTGAAGGGGTATTTTAAAAAGTCACCCCGATTTTCATTAAGCATCCATCCATTCTTTAAGAGAAAGGTACTTGGTTAAAAAATAATTTGTGATTAAATTTTTTCTTGTTTGCTGCTCATAAGGATGAATTATATCTTGTATTCCTTTAAGTGTAGCCACAAACCCCAGGTTCCTGCACTTCCCCCACGTCTCTGCATCTCGTTTAGCAAGTTGTAGTTATCTTTTAATCAGCTGTATCTTTAATTGAGCTGTATATTTAACAGGGAATCAATAGAGGTCTTAGCTTTGCTCTGATCATTAAGTCAGATTCTTTGCTTGCCATAAATAGTTTTTGTTTCCCTTTCATATCTAATTATATTTTTCTATTTCAACAATAATTAACACAGAGGGGTTAACATTGCTCCTGTTGTGGGATTGCACTGTTTAACATTTTAATGCCTGATATGGATTACTGCTATGTGAGTGCGTATTTCTAACCAGCTCTGTCCATTCAGCTCTTCATCTCTGAATCCTTGATTCCTTTTTTTCTTTGTTTTCTTTTAACTCCAATTTTATATTCTTCTTTTTTTTCCATGTTTTCTTTTCTGGCCACACAGTATTCTCAATATTCGCATTATTTTCTTACTGACAAAAAAAGAAATAGTTTATTATAGTGATAACTTTTATTGAACCAATGTTAACAAGCATGGATCCAACATCCTTTGTTTTTTTTTTTTTATATATACTTGTAACCTTTCAAAAAAAAAAAAAAAAGTAATACTTTCTGCAGCACTAAGCTACATAGTAGTACAAGGACTTTTTAATGTTTTTTTTTCATAAAACTCTGTGTTCTGAAGGATATATGTCCAACTGCTCATTTGGATGACCTGAACTTTTAGATTTTTTTTTAACCACAGGCATATAAACCTAATTTTAACAACCAAATATTCACATTATGACCCCAAACGCATCAACATTTTATGTGGTGCAGGTGAGGTAACTTCTCCATCCTCTAGCCAAGTAACTATTTTTGCCAAACCTCTATTATTGAGTAAGAGCAGAATAAAACAGTTTGCTCACTTGGGCTTTAACAAAATCCAAGGTGAAAGTGAACGTCCATTATAATTTGGCTTCTGCAACCCATCAATACATTTTTCTTTATATAAAAAAAACAACAATAGAATATTATATTATTTTTTGTGTTTGTTTTATTTTGAAACAGAATGATGAGCCATATAGATTTAAATGCAAGAGTATTGTTGTTCTTCAAAAGCCTGTTGTCTCATGGCAACTACAGTACATGCCACACTTTTCAGATTATTTGGAAAAAAAAATGTTGGTAAAAGATATTGTACAACTTTTTTCAGATCAATAAAGAAATAATCGGAAGCTTCAGATGTGGACAGGGCAGCAAATGGTTTGTCAGTAAACCTGTTGTATTGCGCTGCTGAAAATTGAACAATTTCAATTCTTTTAGGGGCTTTTCACTAAATGTATGGTGTGCAGACTCAGGTGTGAAGGTTAAATTGGAGTTGAATTAAATATTACTACCTGAACAAGGGGGCCAGACAATAATAAACACTTTGCAACAAAAATGGTTTGCAGAAAATGAAAGGATAACTTTGCTATTGATCCCAATTTCTTAATGTGAACTGTTTCACTTATTAAAGGTTGTCTTTGTGAAATTAGGCTTAGCTGCTACATCAGCTCCTAGTAATAATCTCCTAAAATATGTGGCAAATGGATGTTTTTTGCTCCTGCTTCCCATTTTGCATTTCTTAGTCTGTAAAGGCAGTTAGTCCAGCTTTTAATTATTTAACCTGCACTTGGCAGAATGTTTGCTGCCTGCATGTTTGTTAGAATGAAGTTAACAGCAAAGCTATGTGTGCAGCTGGCATTAGCCATTTTCTCAATCTGCTTGATAATTCCTCAGATGTTTTAATTAGACCTTATATTACAGTAGAACACTATCCTTTTGATAAAGACCTGCTGCCCTCGGTGTCATTGATTTATTTGTTATAAAAAGCAGACTAAATACCATATTCAGTTTGTCAAATAGCTTTAACGGGAACAGGTAAAATCTTATAAAATAATTGGATTCATAAATTTATTTGGATTTTTAACTGTATCTTTTCTCTTTTTTTTAACTTGTAGTGGTTGTATATTCGGTGGACCAAGATTGAGCAACATAAAGCTTAAGCAGCAAGCTTTTATCGCAAAATCAATAAAACAGATAATGTTGACAAGCCTTTTCTCATGGCTCTCCCTGATGCAGCTCACTCATCTCTCCCACCACCACCCTTACAACTAAAAAGTATTCCCACTGTTGTTATTGCTCTTAATACCTGAGCACGCCTTAACGAATAAACGCTATAGATCCGGTTTTAATGCATGTTTGCTTTCCTGAACCTGCAGGACTTGTTAGAATTTGCTTAAATTTCATGACCTAAATTGAAGTTTCCTATGGTGTTCTGATCACTACTGTGATAACTTTTATTTTTTTTTATTTTGAACCATTTCTTTATCTTTCATTCAGTTTTGACATCAAACAGCATCTGGATGTCTTCTCTTTAAGGCTATAGGACTTTTTGTTGACCTGTGGATTAACATGCTTAAAACAGAGAATCCAGCAGGGATGAACCAATCGGATTTTGATTTCCAGTCTTCAGGTCCCTTTTTAGCTTTGACCTACTGACATTTATTTAGTGTAATTGAGGTGTCTATTTAACAGTTAAAAATCAAAATACAAAATGTGATCATTTATCTTAATAAGAGAGAATTGGTCTCATTGTCTGTGCGACAGACCAATTGTTGTAAAACAGCCATTTATATATTCAGATGAAAAAAGTCAGATTTTCAAAAGAGTTTAATAAATTGAAAAGAGAAAAACATTTTGCAGTTTTTTACTTATATATATTCTCTATTTATTTGCTTGACGTTTTTTTAAAAGCTTGTTATATCTTTGTTCTTCCTTTTACTAAATCAGTAACCCTTCCCTGATGCTGCAAACTAACCTTTCATCTTTTTTATATGTAATATCCACACTAAAGAGTGTTTTGCCGGGACCACAGGACAAAATTTTGGTGCTTTTATGGATAAAAGCTGGTCTCAGTTTAGGACCAATCAAGCTGAAATATCCTAGATTCCAGTCATCCGATGCATCCATACCC